GCGGTCTGACGCCGCCGGTGGCCTTATGGAGCGCCGTGATGGCTGCCGCGCGCAACCATGCGTCCACGAGCGGCGGCACTGAACCCCCCACCCAAGCCAGGGCAGCCTCAATGAATGCATCTCCCGCCTCCGTGTCGGCGACAATTGAACGCCAGTGCTCGGCGCGGCTGCTGTCCAGGCCAGGCGCTCGGCCTCCCTTGGCCTTCCTGAAGGCTCTGGCAATTGCGTCGCCGAGCTGCTGCCGAGGCTCCGCGGCGAGCGGAATCGGCATCCCGTCCTCCTGCGCCGCGTCCCAAGCGTCAGCCTCTGGGAAAAGAGCACGGAGCTGGTCGTGGACGCCCGGGCCAGCCGCCGTCCAGCCAGACCTCCGGAGCGTGGCAACTGCCCCTGCAACCTGCCCGTCTTCGAGCAATGAATTGGCACGACGGACTCTGCTCGAAATGTCCCCAACAGTAGCATCGAGCGGCTTCCCACAACTCTTGCCGCCCACCGCGCCAAAATACAAGCAAACGCTCAGCAATGTCATTCTTGATGTGCTTGGCCCTTCTACCACTGGCGCCCTGGCCACCTCGGGCTCCCGTAGCAGCAAACATCAAGCGAGGTGCAAATATGACAAGCTTCCATGCACGCTTCTGGTCTTGGAGAGTCTGGCCACACGCACGTTCCTTCAAAGCTTTACACATGGCCTCGGCCCAAGCAGCTTGCAGTCCAGACGGAACACGGCGCATTGTGGCAACCTGGTGTCCCAGAGCGTGCAGGACATCTACAATGTCCCTCCAAATCATGTGCATGAGCTGGGACATCCCAAGAGGGCCCTCCGGATCGCACAACGCTGGCCCGGGCCATGACGGGTCTGTCACCCTCCGCTTGGAAAATCTCCTCCCCCTCCTGTTCCAGAGAGGCCTCCCCAAGCAATTCGCGCACCCTCTCGACCTCAGCTTGCGGGGTAGTGCGGAGCCTTCCAGCGTATCCGCAGGCCGCCACCTTTCACCCAGGCAGCACCAGTGGCACAATCGAGAGGCACTTTGTGTCTGGAGACGCGGCTCTCTCAGGGCGGCTTCGTCCTTGCAGGTACTGCAGTGCGCCCAGCGGCCGTTGCCCCGCAGCGTCAGGAGCCAAGAAAGTCCCTGAGAGCCCCCTGGTCGACATCCGTGTTCTGGGAGCTCGCAGCTGACGGCCCCGGGCTTCGAGGCCTCCCCCGCGCGCACGCCGCGATGACCGCAGCGGCGTCGCGGCGTGCGACTCCCCACCTCCAGCTCCGTGCCCTCCCGCCCTCCTGCAGCGCCCCTCCTCCTCCTCTTGCTGCTTCTCGTCCGGTCCTGGGCGAGGAGCCCCGCCAAGCCGGACCCCGCGCAGGCCACAGCGAGCTGGCGCACGGCGGCTCCGCGCAGCGGTCGGGAGAAGCGGGCGGCAGCGCCGCGGGGGCGCTGGCAGGTGGAACACGGACGGGGACCTGAAGCCCACGAGCAGGCCCCCATCGACAACGGGGAGCACGTGCACGGGGGAGTCGGTGACCAGGGCGTCTGGGTAAGCTCGGCGCGCGGCCGCACGTACCCCAGCTGCTGCGGCACAGGCGGCACGCGGACGCAGAGCTCGAGATGGATCTGCTGCAGGCCAGGGCGGATCTCACACCCACCTCGGGTGCTGCCTGAAGTGCCCGTGGCCCAAGGTGCCCCCAGGAATACTCGGGCGGCCCCCGCGGCCTCCAGAGCACCCCTCACGAGGCCCAGGGGGCCCCGGGGGGTTCCATGTTAAGCGAAAAGCTGAGGGCACCTCGGGCCAGGGGCACCTGGAGCAACCCCGACAGGAGGTACGGTAGTAGCCCACGGCCGGGACGCCCGCCTCCCCCGTCGTCCTCCCCGTCCTCTTCTCCCTCCTCCCGCCAAGCAGCCGTCCAGCTGGCGTGAGGCGGCGGGCTCGCAAGTGATGGCTCTGGGCCGACAAGAGCAGCGCGGGAGGAGGAGGAGGAGGAGGAGGAGGGAGAGGGAGACGAGAAAGGGAGAGGAGGAGGGAGAGGATGAGGATGACGAGAAAGGGGAGGAGGAAGGTGAAGAGGGCACTTAGAATCAAAACGAGAGCGAGGACGAGAAAGAGGAAGGGAAATGTGAATAGGACGAGGAGGAGGAAGAAGACGGCGATCGCAAGAAAGGATGAAGGGGAATGGGAGGTTGAGAAGGACGAGGAAGAGAACGAGGAAGGAAAAAGAGAAAGAAAAGAGGAAGAAAAAAAAAAATGAGGGAGAGGGGGAGGGGGGAAGGGTTGCGCGAGTGCGGAGCTCAGGCCTTGTTGAAGTCTTCCACGAGGCCTTTCTTCTTGATTTTCTGAATCGACACAGGCTCGAAGTCGGTGTCGAGGTTCAGTTTCACGCCGAGCACCTGCTCTAGGGGAGAGCGCATGAGCTGGATGAGGAGAAGGAAGGAGGAGAGAGGAGGTAAGCTAGAAGCATACCTACTGTCAGAGGCACGCGTCCCCCTCGGGCATCACAGGCCCAAAGGGGGGGGCATGGGAGAGTAGGAGCGAGACCACCCAGCTGCCTGGAGGACGAAGGGAGGGAGGGAGGTAGTGAGGAGAAAGCACTGATCAAAATCGAAGAGGAGGAGGACGACGACGAGAGGGAAGAGAGAAGGGAGGGAGGGTGGAGGGGACGAGGGGGGGAGGATGGCGAAGAAGAAATAGAATAGGAGCAGGGAGGAGGAGGAGAAGAGGAGGAGCCCAATACCTTCCATGGGCTTGATGTCAGCAAGCTCAATGCCGTGGCCTCAGCCAACTGTATGGTTGAGAGGCACCAGGCGGAGGAAGAAGAGGTGGATGATGTCGGGCATATTGCTGAAGGCCGCTGCGAGGGCCTCGAACTATTGGGGAGGTGATAATGGGCGCAAATCCTGCTTACCACCCATTTCCTTTGCTGCGTGGTAGATATAGAAGCAAAAAGCTGTGGCAAAGATAGCATTCTCATGTGTGAGGTCCCTGACGGGGTATTGCACTGGGAGGCCCAGACCGAGACGAATGAGGGGACACGGAGGAACGACAGCACGCGGCAGACAGGCGAGGCGGGTGAGGCGAGAGCATTCGAGATAGTGTGCAATACTGTATGGACGCAGGTGGCATCGAAAGACACATCCCCAAAGCCCGTCAGTAACGTGCATTCGGTCGGTGGTGGTCCATCCACCTGCGGTTGTCCCAAGGCATGGCCAGCGAATGGATAGAGGGGCAAGGAAGCGGAGGAGGAGGAGGTGCAGGAAGAGGAGGCGAACCATAAAGGGGCCCAGAGACACACAAATGAATGGACACAAATCCCACGATTCTCCATATTTCCCCATATTTTCTGGAGTTTCGTCTGCCCCTTCGTTTCCAAAATGTTCCCTTGTTTTCCTGGGAATCGACGTTCAGTTGTGTCTGCATGTGCTTCTTTCCCCCCTGAAGCCAGGAGGGGGGAGGGAGGGAGGAGGGAAGGGGGAGCTGGCGGAGGGGGACAAGGAACGGCAGCAGAAGAAAGAGCGGGCGGGGGGGGGGCAAGGGAAAGCGGACGACAGGAGGACGGCCATACCAAAGCTAATTCGGCGGCGAGCCAAGGGGCGGAGTGAGAGGCCGAACACAGCGGAGCGGCGTTGGAACATATGTTGCATCATTCAACACATGTTCCCGTCGCTTCGGCCGCCACCCCGCGCGTCCAAGACAGCAGCTCTGCTGCGTACTCCTGCACTCCCCCCCACGCCCTATTCGCCTGGAACTCGTTTCTGGATGGGCTGGTGGGGATACTTTTCTGTTCGCGCGCGCAAGCGGAGGAGACGCGCGCCGTCAGGAAATTGCCGACTAGCAACGACCTAACTTACAGCGGCCTAAAACGGAGCCGAACGCGCGCAGCTGACAAGCGGCGGGAAAAATTGCAATCTAAGCTGCTCAGAAGAACCAGGCGAAGACCCGGTAGCAGGCCAAAGTGGCTGTGGATTCGACGGCGCCCACAATGCGATGACGTCACTCACTGATCTCATCAAACGTTTCCTCGGCGATGGATCTGCAGGTGCCGACCGTAGAACCACCAATCCACCGCAGTCGTGAGGCACGGTGCCGTGTGACCCCTTCCACGTGGCTGGTGGGGATACGCGAGGCGTCAAGAATTCGGCGGCGAGCTGGGGGGGCGGAGTGAGTGGGGGCGGGCACTACCTCAGAAGGCTCGGAAGCGCCTCGGCCTTTCAAGAAGTTGTCTGGGCCTTCCCCGAAGACACTGCAGACTTGTCGGAAGGCCGGAGCGCTTCTGAGCAGCCCCGCCGCCTTCTGAGGAGGTCTTTTCCTTCTCACTTCCCCCCCTCGCTCACCGTCGACAAATACGCAACCCAGACAAGCCCTCCCTCCACCACACTTTTTGCGTCGGCGGCTAGGCAGAGTGACTGCGCTGACGGATGGGCCCTCCACCACACGCACCCCGCATGCGCAAGCACCCCAGAAAGCCCCCAAAGAAAACAGGCCCATCGGGGAAGTTCTCCGTCCGGCAGGCCCGAGGGAAGGGCAGAGCTGCCCAGCTTCGGAATACGCTCCCGATAGCGCAGAACGCCCTGGGCAGAGACTGCTGGGCCACGGAGACAGGGGAGGACTCGGGGGGCACCGGCGAGGGCGAGGACAGAGCGCGAGCGGCGCGCCGGGCGGAGGCGGGGAGGGTGAACGGGGCCCGGCGAAAGGAGGGAGAGCCGAGGGGCCAGCGGGGAGAGGGGAGGGCCTCTGGGCAGTGCGCCTGCGTACAGGGAGGGGGGCGGGGAAGGGAGGTGGCCTCGGCGCGCGCGTGCGTAGCCCCTCTCCTGCGGCGCCAGGGTCGACCCGCGGCAGAGCACGAGGGGCAAGCGGCAGCAGAAGAGGTGACCCCCTGCAGCCCCTTGTTCGGAGGTGAGGGAGGGCGCTCGCAGTGACTTGCCACTGCACCGACCTTGCAGACGTGCGGCAGCGGATTTTCGCGTGGACTTCTGCCACTGCAAGACCCCGAAACGGCGAGCGAGAAACGAAGTGAATGTCACGTGCAGTTCTTGGTAGTCTTCATTCCTGGCAAAAAGGATCCGCACGAAATTCACTTGGAAGTCCGGCGCGGAACTCTCTAGGACAATCCGGGCCCAACCCAAGGTTTTCCGAAGGAGATCCGCTCTGCGATGTTGGCGCCGTGAGACTTGGCATGACGGGAAAATCAGGGGCGGCCAAGAGTGGGGCGTCCAAGAGGTGGGGGTGCAAATCATGGCCCGAGGCATGTGCGCGGACCAGAAGGGGCCAGGGAACGCATTGAAATAAGAAGAGGCGCCATGAGATCTGGGGAGATATCCTGGCCCCCGCCATGATGTCCACCCCCCCTAGTCACCCCCCCCCCTCTTGGCCGCCCCCGAGAACAAGGGTCCTTGCGGTGACGCGTCGTGGACCCCCAGGCTAGCTCGAGGACGGCGACAGGGCCTCCACAAAGGACCCCCCGGCTCCTCCAGGACAGCCCCCCCGTTTCCTCGGGCGCGCCGAGGAGGAGCGGGGCCAGGAGGAGGGGGGGGGGGCGTGGCCGAGCGCAGGCACGCGGGCGCATGGACGGAGGCAGGGGGGGCCATGAGGTCTGGGAGATCTCACGGCCTCAGCCGTGATACCACCACACACTCCGCCTGCGTCGGCGGCCAGGCAGCGTCGCTGCGCTGGCGAAGGGGCGCAGGTGGGATGCACACACTGGTTGCGTCGGCGGCTGGGCAGAGTGACTGCGCTGGCGGACGAAAGGGAAGCACACACCAACACACACAGACACACACGTGCGCTTCTTGGCGGCAGCGGCCCCGCGCGCAGCGACGGGGTGGAGAGAGCGCCACGGTGCGAGACGGAGCGGCGCGACGGCGGGGCTCTCGGCATCGCCCAGGGGTGCAAGCCTGCCAGCAGCGGCCGCCCACGCGCACGTTCAAGCCGGCGGCGCAGAGTCCTGGAGATGTCTCGGGGCGGCTTTGGGGCCTCTTGGGTGCTCTGGGCGGGACTGGGGGGTGGCTCCGAAGCCGTCTTGAGGCGGGTGGTGGTGCTTCTGCGGCTGGGCGGGCGCGTCGGCAAGCCGGAAAGGCGTGAACCCCCAAAGACCACAAGAAACGCTGGAGAACACCAATGATTTCTCGTCTTGTTGTGGCCCTTTGGGGGGCCGTCTGGGAACCGTATTAGAACGTCTGGGTTTGTTTGGGGCCGTCTGGAGGCCTTCGTGGAGCGCCTCGGGAGAGCGGTAAGGCTGTGGAGACGACCGCGGGCGTCTGGGAGTGATTTTCAGGCAACTCGGGCGCGTCTCGGTGCCTTGTTGGGCTGCCCTGGAATCGTCTTGGGGCGGCTTTGAGGCCTCCTGGGTGCTCTGGGCGCCCCTCGGGGGAGCCCCTGAAACCGTCTTGAAGCGGGCGGGCGGTGGTGCAGCTGGAGCTAGTTTGGAACATCGGGATGCCGAAAACACGGAAGTCAAAAAAAACGATGACAAACATGTGATTTGTGCCTCTTGGGGCCCTTGTGGGGGCCGTCTGGGAACCCTCTTGGAGCGTCTGGGGGGGCCGTCCAGGCCGTCTGGGAGCCTTCGCGGAGCGCCCTGGGGGCGCGGTGGGCAATCCGGAGGCGACCGCGGGCGTCTGGGAGTGATGTTCTGGCGCCGCACAGGCGCCCCGAGAGCTTCGAGTCGCCCCTTGGGCACCTCTGGTGCCCCCGAGGCCCCCCCCCCCCCCCCGTGCGCTGTCGGGCCTCCGGCCCTGGGTCCCCGGGCCTCGTAGGCTCAGGGCTCCGCCCGGGAGCCCCGGGCCCGCCCGGGAACCCTATGCCGCGCCGTGCCCGTGCTTCCGGGCCCGCCCCAACCATACTCCTCTGTGTGTGTGTATATATATATATATATATATATATATGTCATGTCATGTCATGTCATATCATATCATATCATATCATATCATATCATATCATACCATATCATATCCTACCGTAGCATATCATATCATATCATATCATGTCATACCATATCATGTCATGTCATATCATATCATATCATATCATATCATATCATATCATATCATATCATATCATATCATATCATATCATATCATACCATAACAATTCATAGCATAACATATCATGTCATATCATATCATGTCATAGCATATCATATCATATCATGTCATATCATATCATATCATGTCATATCATATCATATCATATATATACACACACATCGACATACGCATACGTATACATATCCATATATATGTATAGATGTAAATATATATATATATATATATATATATATATATGTGTGTACATAAAATGTGTTATAAAGAGAAGGGGAAAGCATGACATATCCGCCGGCCCCCTTGCGGGGCCATCAGGCTGCGAGGCTTAAGGTTGCTGCTCCCTGCACCAGTTCCAGTTTCCAGTTTTCATTGTTACAGGACTGCTTTCTGCTTCCTACTGTAAATTGTTACTGTCCGCGCGAGGGGGGGGAGCCGAAAAATACCCTGGTTAGCGTCCCCCGGGAGGGTTCTCAGAATTCCTGGGGGGGCGTAGGACCACTGAAAATCGACAACCCTCACGCAGATCGGCGGGGTCAGGGTCCAAAAACACAGGGGATGTGCCACATTTCTTTAATTCGTTGGCACCCCTCACGCAGATCGGCGGGGTCAGGGTCCAACAACACAAGGGATTCGCCACAATTCTCAAATTTCCTGACACCCCTCAGGCAGATCGGCTGGGTCAGCGTCCAAAAACACAAAGGATTTGCCACTTTTCTGACATTCGGTGGCACCCCTCACGCAGATCGGAGGGGTCAGTGTCCAAAAACACAGAAAGGACGTGCCACATTTCTGACATTCGGTGGCACCCCTTACGCAGATCGGCGGGGTCAGGGTCCAAAAACACAAGGGATTTGCAGGATTTCTTAAATTTCCTGACACCCCTCGCGCAGATCGGCGGGGTCAGGGTCCAAAAACACACGGGATTTGCCACATGTCTAAAATTCGGTTGTGCCCCTCAAGCAAATCGGCAAGGTCAGGGTCCAAAAAGACACGGTATTTGCAACATTTCTGAAATTCGGCGGCACCCCTCACGCAAATCGGCAGGGTCAGGGTCCAAAAACACAAAGGACTTGCCACTTTTCTGAAATTCGGTGGCACCCCTCACGCAGATCGGCGGCGTCAGGGTCCACAAACACCGGGGATGTGCCACATTCCTGAAATTCGGTGGCATCCGTGACGCAGATCCGTAGGGTCAGGGTCGAAAACAAACAGGTCCCGACACTGCTTGACGGCGAAGCCAAAGCCTCATGACTTCGCTCTTCCATGGCCCATTCTCCAAGAGAGGGGGCCGGCGGCAGGGGGCGAAGCCCTTACGGATAAAGAGAGAGAGAGAGAGAAAGAATGAAATTGATCGATCAATCAATCTGTACATATATATATATATATATATATAGACAGGTAAATTGATAGATATGTGTATCTACATACATATATATAGACAAATATGTAGAGCAATGGATACGTATATATGTATGTGTGTGTGGACATACAGCTGTATACATATATGCATATATATGTGTTCCGCTGTAATACTGTTTTGCGTACATGCTGGTCGACGTATATTTATGTATATAAATATACATGTATTTATATGTATATATATACACACACGCATAGTCTGTATGATACCTGCATTATATGTATGTATATGTATATATATATATGTATAGATATGTGTGTGTACACAAACAATCATATACGTGTAGGTGCGATCATATCATATGAATGAACATAAACATATACGTATACGCCTACATGTGCGTATATCTCTATATATATATATGCAGATACCCATACATGCACATATACCTTTTACACATGCATAGAAATATACGCGTGTCAGATACAACACCTATACGTATACAAAGACATGCACATATGCATATACATGCACGTATACCTATACAAGATCCTAGATATGTACGTATACATAAATACATATACACATCCATAACATGTACATATGTGCATATAGATACTTCTGCATGCATATATACATACATACATACATACATGTTTGCAAATGTCTGAACATGCACACACACACATGTACATTTACATTGACATGTACATATGCATGTAAGTATTTGTAAACTCACAGTCATGAAGGGATGGGCGCATGCATGCATAAATTCGTGCATACAGACATACGGACATACATGCATACATACATATGCACACACATGCACATCAATACAGCTGAACAGTTAGACTTGTATGCGTCCAAGGATATATGAGTACACAACATTAGTATGGCGAAGGACCCAGCCAGATGCCGTTGTGAGCACCGTCGTTGTGTTCACCGCATTCGGTGGAGCTCCCTGTTGGGCTAGTGAACGTGTTACGGGTGTGCCAAAATTGGTGCGGTGACCGCATGCGAACGCTGGCATTTGGGCCTTCGGTGCGGCTCCCTGTGGGGCCACGAAACGTTTGAAGGGTGTGCCAAAAATGTGTGCGGTGACCGCATGCAAACGCTGGCATGTGGGCCTTCGGTGGGGCTCCCTGTGGGGCCACGAAACGTGTCAGGGGTGTGCCAAAATGGGCGCGGTGACCGCATGCGAACTCTAGCATGTGGGCCTTCGGTGGGGCTCCCTGTGCTGCCACGAAACGTGTGAGGGGTGTGCCAAAATGAGCGCGGTGACCGCATGCGAACGCTGGCATTTGGGCCTTCGGTGGAGCTCCCTGTGGGGCCACGAAACGTGTGAGGGGTGTGCCAGAATGGGTGCGGTGATCGCATGCGAACTCTGGCATGTGGGCCTTCGGTGGGGCTCCCTGTGGGGCCACGAAACGTGTCAGGGGTGTGCCAAAATGGGCGCGGTGACCGCATGCGAACGCTGGCATTTGGGCCTTCGGTGGGGCTCCCTGTGCGGCCACGAAACGTGTGAGGGGTGTGCCAAAATGGGTGCGGTGACCGCATGCGAACGCTGGCATGTGGGCCTTCGGTGGGGCTCCCTGTGCGGCCACGAAACGTGTGAGGGGTGTGCCAAAATGAGTGCGGTGACCGCATGCGAACGCTGGCATTTGGGCATTCGGTGGGCCCCCCTCGTGTGGCCACGGAACGTGTGAAGGGTGTGCCAAAATGGTCACCGCATGCGAACGCTGGCATTTGGGCCTTCGGTGGGGCTCCCGATTGGGCCGCGAAACGTGTGAGGGGTGTGCTGAAACTGGTGATGACGATGATGAGAGGAGGAGAGAGGCGGGCAGCGGGAGGATAAGGAGTGAACACGGGGACCGTCTCTTCAAAACGAAGACCCAACACCACAGGATGAGTTGGACAAAAAAAATGGTGAATACATAGTGATATAAATATATACATAGAGGGCTGTATAGAGATATGGATCGACATACTTGTGTATATGTGTGTAGTTGTGTGTATGAACAAATAGATGCATGCATGCATACATACATGTACCTATACATGCATGTATACATGTATGCATGGATGCATGGTTGCATCAATGATTAAATACATGCACACATGCGCATACACATGCATACATGCATGCATGCATGCATACATACATACATACCTACATACCTACAGACCTACATACCTACATACACACACACATACATACATACATACATACATACATACATACAGACATACATACCTATATACACATATACATAATTACAAACATACATACATACATACATACATACATACATACATGCATATACACATACATATATACATACATATACATGTACATATACTTATATCTATACATATACATATACATGTGTACAAATTTACATAGATAGATGTGTATATATGTACATACATATATATATATATATACATACATACATACATAGGGACAGACAGACAGACAGACAGACAGACAGACAGACAGACAGACAGACAGACAGACAGACAGACAGACAGACGGACAGACATACATACATACACACATCTATGCGTATATATGTATACGTATATACAGATCTAACTCCCTATAGTGTCCCATATGTTCAGACTTTTCGTTTTCCCTCCGCTTACCAATTCTCCATAGTTTCCGGGGAATCGACGTGTATGTGTGCGTGTTTAGGTTTTTGCTCCCCTCCTGAAGGGAGGGTTCCGCTCGGATCCGGGGGGTGCACTTCTTCCACAACGGGCGTTGTCGCCCGGATTCGGCTGGGAACCTGGCAGATCGGGCCAGCTCGACACATGACGCAAGAAGACGGGGCCTAGGTCTCCAGGCGTGATTTCTCGCGATGTCACGTTTTTGCCTGCGACGTCGGACCTCAGTGCCTGGGCAGCAGAAGAGCCCCACCGAAGAAGCCCCTCCGCCTGCCCGAGTGGCTGCCGCTCCTTCGGGCGGCGAACTCTATGCATATCCAATGCTCCCTGGCCAGGCCCACCCTGAACCCAGGAGCTGTGTATACGCCTTCCCGGCCGAGCTAGGAGGGGGTGGCGTACACACCGCTGCTGGGTTCAAGATGGGCCTGGCAAGGGGGCGGTGGATACATATATATAGGTATATATATATATATACATATATATATATATATATGTATATACCTATGTATTTACAAAAAGAGATATGATATATATATATACACATATATATATATGTATATATCATATAAACGCCTGCGCCACCACCACCCGGTAGGGCGCCGCCGAGTCCGGGGGCGGCCCGCCGCTGGCCTTGCCCGTGGCGAGCACACTCTTCTTCAGCTCGAGCTTGACCACGAGGTCCTTCTCGAAGGCCTGCCGCGGGGGCGGGCCGCTGCCCCCGCGCGGGGATGACGACGACGACGACGACGACGATGAACACAACGACGACGACGACGACGACGACGACGACGACGACGACGACGACGACGACGACGACGGCCAGGCCAGACTCTCAGGAAGGAAATCCTGGTGGCATCGCGCGGCGCGCTATGGCTCGATCATCTGCTGGGCGACCTGGTGTGCGTCTGGGTTGCTTTGAAGGGAACCCTGGAAAGAGTTTCTCAGAAACGCCCCTCTGTTTTCTGAGAGGGCCTGCCCCTTCTCACTTCCGCCCATCGGCGCGCCGGAGACAGGACTCGCCATGAGGAAAATCCTGGAATCCTCGCGCGGCGCGCAACCGTTGTATCATCTAATCCGCACGTCCGCCACGCAGGATACGGGACGACGTTCGCGCGGCAATGTCCCAGCATGAGTTCAACGTAAATCTGGCGCGAGCCCGACGCCAGCCCGATGCAAATGCGACGAACGGCGGGGGCCGCAGAGCAGCGGGTTCGACTGCGCGGACATTTCCTCCCCTCCTCCTCGTCTTCCTCCTTCTCCTCCTTCTCCTCCTCCTCCTCCTCCTCCTCCTTCTCCTCGTCCTCCTCCATTTCCTCCTCCTCCTCCTCCTCCTCCTCCTCGGTTTCCTCACTTCCTCCTCCTCCCCCGCCTCATCCTGCTCGTCCGCCTCGCTCTCCTCCTCCTCCTTTCCTCCTCCTCCCCCTCCTCCTCCTCCTCCTCCTCCTCCTCCTCCTCGTCCTCCTCATCATCATTCTCCTCGTCTTCCTTGACGACGTTAGCCCGTGAAGAAAAAGCAGAAATCTGCTCAAGATTATTCAGAGACCCCAGCCCCGTCCCATGGCCTCGAGGAGCACCCCGACTCTGCGCAGAGGATATGGAAGGCATCGAGAGGCAGACAACGACCCATTTACGGCCGAGCCCGGTGATCCTCCCCAAATCCCACTCCAGGACGAGGGGAGGAGCCGGGAGCGGGCAGAAGTTGGCAACGTCTGGCTTAGCTTGGCCCTCCCGCGGGCCGCATCGTGCAACCTCTTCCGCCTCTTCGGGGAGAAGTTCACCTTGGGTCCCGATCCTGCAGGTCGCACAGAAACATGCACCACGAGTACCTCTGTCCCCCCTTCCTTCTCACCCCTCACCCCTCCTCTTCTCTCCTATCCTACATCCCCCCGTCCTCTTCTTGGGAAGGGCCAACCGTACCACTTGGGCGCGGTACCCGGTCAAAAAATAAATGCTGCGGACTGTGGTTCGGAAGAGCTGTCGCTGGCTGTCCCATTTGCAAACGAGACGTGGCGTGAGTTGAACCGTGGAACGGCCTGAAGCGAGCCCCGTACGTAGCCTCCGTGAGGCCAAGGGCCGCGGTTCCAGTCACAGCACGCGCCAGGACCTGGTCCCTGGGTGCCCCGAAGTGGTCCATCGGACCCCTCTCCAGGACACGTCTGTTCTAAGGTACACTTGGCCCCGCCCGATGCCCTCATCCGCTTTCGTGAGAGGGCGGGAGGGTATGGAAGCCCTGGTGCTGTATCTATATGTAGATACACAGAGGTACAGACATGTATGTAAAAATGTATGTTTGAACCCTGGACGTCCGTTCACGTCCATGTCCATGTCCATGTTCATGTCCATGTCCATGTCCATGTCCATGTCCATGTCCATATCGAAAAGGTCTTCGTTCTCGTCGGAGCTGTCGTCAACTTAGAGGGCGGGTTGTTGCAGAATTCCCTCCCTCTCCTAGCCGCCTGTTCCTTCTCGTCCGTTGCCTCCTCCCCCTCTTCCTCCCCCTCCATTTGCACCTCATCCACCTTCACATCATGATGATCCTCATACGCCTCTTTCTCGTTGTCTTCCTACTGCTGCTGCTGCCGCTCCTTCTCCGATTCATCCTCCACTTCCTCCTCCTCCTCATCATCATCATAATCCTCATCATCACCATCATCATCATCACCACCATCATCATCCATCATCCATCATCCATCATCATCATCATCATCATCATCATCATCATCATCATCATCATCATCATCATCATCATCATCATCATCATCGTCATGAGCATCCTCATCATCGTCATCCCCATCAGAATCAGCACCATCATCAGCAGCAGCATCGTCATCACCAACATCATCAACAACAACATCATCGTTCTCACAATCGCCCTGCTTTTCACTCGACCACCCCTCCTCCTCATTATTATGATTATTATATCAACATTGTTAGTACGATTATTCGTCTTAGTCTTAGTAATCGTATTGCTATTATTCCTCCTCCTCCTCCTGGCAGCAGCACCACCACCACCAATCATGACCATCACCATCCCTCTCCTGCTGCCCTGCCGCCTCCCTCGGACGTCCCGGAACGACGCCAACACAGCGCGCAGGCACACCTGCGACCGGCGCTAATAGCCGCCGAGTGAAAAAAAACGAAGACATCATTTCATTTAATTTCGCTAAGCCTGAGGCCCCTCGGAGGCCAGCTGACTACATCACTCCCATCTACGGACTACTGCTCTGCTCTTGCTACAAACAACCGACTCACAAACAGCGCGCTTTCCTCCAAAGACATCATAAGCCCTCCTGCCTGACGAATTGCCCTCCCGCCCTCCTGCGCGAACTGGTTCTGGACGCGGCGGCCGCGTGCCGAGCCGTCGCACGACGTGCGTACCCCGCGCCCACGACTGCACGAGCTACTGCGCACATCTTCGAGGCCCTCTTGCCAGAAGACCCGCCCGCCCGAATCCTCTGAAGGGGGGGGGAGGGGGGAAGGGGGCAGGGCAGGGCAGGGTAGGGGAGGGAGGGAGGGGAGGGGAGGGAGGGGAGGGGGGGCGGGAGGGGGAGGGGGGAGGGGGGGGGGGGGGGAGAGGGGAGGGGAGTGAAGGGAGGGAGAGGAGAGGGGAGGGGAGAGGGAGAGGGGAGGGGCCCCTCCTCCCCAGCCAGCCCGACCGTGGTCGGCGCCCCTCCGCCACAAGAGGGCTCCAAGAGGGTCCCAAGAGGGCCCCAAGAGACACCCGAGAGGCCCCCAAGAGGCCCCCGAGCGGCCTCAGAGAGCCCAAGATGACCTCCAAAATGGCTCAGGTGGCCCAAGCTGGCTCAAGATGGCTCCCAAGATGCTCCAAATGGCCCCAAGACCGCTCCAAGAGCGCCCAAGAACGCTCCAAGAGAGCCCAAAGAAGCGGGTTGCCGGCTCCTGAGGAGGGAGCTGACGAGTTGGGGACCCCCCATCCTGTAATCGATG